CGTGAGCCAGCCCTCGATTTTGTTTTGAAAATATTTCAACATTACAGCAAAAAACTTCTTTATGTTTGTCAGTTTAGGATTTAGGAGCTTACATTTCTCACTAGGACAAAAAAGTAGAATTTGAACAATGTCCAGATTCTTCTGGCATTTCATTTCATCAATTTCACACAGGCATCCGGCTCGAAACTGAAGCAATGTTTGTGAAGCTTCTCCTCCCCATGATTCCCCTTCAGGAAGGACTGAAAAAAATAGAGGAAGTGCAGCTCCTGGGCTTCCCACTGCCTCCCCTGTCTCCTGCCAATAGGCCCAGGACGGAGATGGCCGTGACAAAGCCAGAGTCCCGTGGGGCAGCCCCGGAGGGCTGCAGGAAGCGCCCTCCACGGCACCCTTAAGCCAGCACAGGGCAACCGTGCACCTCACGGAGGCAGGTGACTGAGCCCTAATCATAGAGGAAACACTAGCTTTGGATCATTTCTCCTGTGAAGTCTTTCAGAAGAGTCAGAGGAGATTATGGTGGAGAGAATACGTATAAGAATAAAAAATGTGAATGGAGAAGTAGAAATGGCTGTGACTTTCAGCGACAGAGGAGAGATCACAATAAGCCTGTCTGGTAAAGGGAAAGATTACCATGGGGTCCCAAGGGAAGTTTCAGACACCTTCCTAGATGTGGCAATGGTCTACGGGTTTCTCTCCAGTCTCTGCCTCCTTGTCATCGCTAACTTAATGCCTCCGTACGCTGAGACAGATTTCCCAACGGGAACATGAAGTTCTAGAAACCAGGGAGGTTTGCTCTATTACCCGGAACTCTGGCAGGATCGCCCCTGGACAGAGGAGCCTGGATTATCCACCTGCCAAGCCATGGGGAAGGAGGCTGCACGCTGTGTGCACTGGGTCATCCTGTCCGCAAAGTGCACAGACCCAAGGAGCTGCTAAAACTGCCTGAGCACTAAGTGACTTCTCGAAAGCTTTGTCAAGGAAAGGCCTAGAACCAAGAGGAAAAGCACAAACACAATAGCCCACTCAAAAGTAAGGTTTTGTTGATGGATGGACTACCCAGACAGTACAATGAGGGTTCTATAACTCCAGTTACCAGCTGGACAGTGAGACACAGGATCTCTTTTGTGGGCTCTAAATTTAGAAAAAGACACATTTATGGGTCATTGCCTATGTTTTACGTACTGTGTGAAGCCCATTCTAGTTCCTTGAGTCTCCATATCCCCGCGTGGTAAGTGCTGTAATGTTCTCACTGGACTGATTAGGGCATTGGGGGCGTCAAATGGGAACCAAAGCTTGAACCAAGGGGTCTGGGAGGCTGAGCTGTGTGTGCATCCAACACGTAAACTCTAAGGGAGGCTGAACACGGAAACAATGCTCCAGTCTCAGCTCCACCTACCTTGCCAGCTATTAGGAGGGTCTTACTGACCCTTTTAATAGAGATTTACTTAAATGTAGGCACTTGGCTAGCGGGTTTAGGAAGCGTGGTGTTCCCACCTGGGCCAGGAAGGCACAGAGGTTCAGAGAGGAGCGGGCGGGGCAGGCGGTGCTGGCTGACTGGCTCTAGCTGGGGAGCCCTGTGGGGAGCCCTGTGGGGAGCCCCAGCTCCTGTGGCTGAGGCAGAGGCTGTGCGGAGGGGGACTGCTGAAAGAGGAGGCTGGAGAACGAAGAAAGGGCTTGTGGCGAAAGACCTAGGAGTCGCCCTTCACGCTGCCTGCAAGCTGTGGGCGGCTGCCGTGGCTTTGAAAGCAGGAAAACATGTTCTCAGGGGTTCTCTGACGGCGCTGTGAAGGGAGGTCTGGACGGACAGTGGACGGGCTGAAAAACCAGAGGAGACGCTACGAGGTGTGCACAGAACAGAGCACAGGTTTCTGCCCCCCCGGAGCGGGCCCAGTGGTCCCCTAAGGCCGATCGTGAGAGGAGGGAAAGGGAAGTTTCAGGTTTGGCCAACAAGATTCGCAGTTGCGTCATTCCCTGGGACGAGGGGCTTTCTTTTATCCCGTGAGATAGGTCTGTGAAAGCACTTGGTAAACGACAGGGTACAATGTTAACTCGAGCTCCCCTGACTGCAGTGTGGGCAGGGCGGAGTGTCTTGAAGAAAATCTCATGCATCAGGAAGTAGACACGCGACACTCCGGACGACAGTAAAGACGTCTACTAAGAATGCGCGTCACGGTGGTGAAATACAGGAGATGGCTTTCTGTGCCGACCACTGTTGCTGGGAATGACACACATACAGAACTCACTCAATTCTCACAGGAGCACATCTTACAGATGAAATTAAGACAGAAGAGGTTGCTATGGTCATAGCAGGGAATAGTGCAGCTGAGGAGCAAACCGGGCTGTCTTGCTCCAAAATCTGAGCTCCTAACCCGTCTTTCTGTAGACAGACTAACATCAGTCCCAGGAAAAGTACAAATACAGTTATGTGTGTAGGGAAGACAGAGAGGCGAAATTAGCTGATAAAATTGAGAGTCTAGGAGTGAGAAGCAGCATTTTGCTCTCCGGGAAACCATGTCCTTCCTTCAAGCAGACCCACGCGAAATCCCAAGACCCAGCTACACAGAGGGAACTGTCAGAGGAGGTCTCGCGGCCCGGGGTTCTGTAGGAGTGTAAATGCCAGATTTGTCACTAGAGGGTGCTCGTGCCATGCTTCTGGATATCTGGGCTAGTTCCTGAGGAATTTGCCTTCTCTGGCGGTTTGGGAAGTTCAGGAACATCAGTTTCCATTAACAAGGTTTTTGCTATTCTGATGCCAGAGCACTCTTCATTAGTAATATATCAAACCACTGTTTTTAAAAATTCAGAGTATTTCTATAATCTGTAGAGGTTTTTTTCCTTGTAATTTGTTCCCTGATACTTATTACAAATTATCTGATAATCTATCTAGCAGTCATTGTCCTACATACACTATCTTTTGCAACTTAATGCTTTTAGGAAGTCAATGCTAGGGAACTACCAATCTGCCTCCTGCATCTAAGTGGTTTCTTCTCAACTTGAAAAAAATCCCGTAATGATGCATTCATGTTGATATCATGCCCTATTAATATTTATCATTAGTTCATACAACATTTGTAACTCCACAGTTAATTCATCAGTACACCAGCTCTAGGCCCTGCATACGTAGGAGCGTTTGCTTATATTATTTCACTTCAGTAGGATATTTGCACTTCAGGAGTCCAAGAGTCAGAGAAGATCTGCTTGACCCTCGGTTCATTGCCTCGTCTCTCACTTCATCCTGGCGTCCCATGAACAATGTGAATTTCACACCAAGAACATGAACGAATGGCCAGACTTCTCATTCACCTCACAAATCCGTCTCCAGAAAGTAGCCTGGGAAGGGCAGTGTTCGATACAGCTCACCACAGCACACTTATCACAACCGCTCCTCTCCTCTTCTTACTCTCTTTTTAGGGTGCACTGAGGGTACCCTGAGGTTCTTGTCCTTTTCCTCTCTCCGTCTGACCACCTAAGCTTGTTCAGAGTTCTCCCATCCGATGCCTCTGTCCTGCCATTTGCTCATTGGTAGCATCTGCGTCTTGCCTTTTTAAGGCCTGCTCCTCCACCACCACTCACTCTATCAATCTCTCTACCTCCTCCAGCCCTGATTTACCTCTCCTGTGGACTCAATTAAGCATCCATTGTTTGTATTTCTCAGCCTGGATTTATGTTTGTTAGTTTTTTAAAATATTTTTTCTGTCTCCTCTAGTGGTTTTGATTTTGAGGAACCAAGATTCTATATGATGTGATTTGTCAACCTTGCGCTGCCTTCATAATGTAGGAAGTGTAGTGATTAAAAGTACAGATTTGGGCAGTAAAAGAGCCTTGTGCTAGGTAAGAACTGCTAAACTGCTCTGACGCTTTGTGTTAACTGTAACAGGGAAATGTTAAGAACATTGCTCCACCACTGTGTTGCAAAAATTAAACGAGACAATGCACACAGGTCTCCCAGGTAGCAATCACACCAAGAATGCTTCCTCTTAATAGTATGCTTTCTGTGGTCACCATTCAAAGTGAGAGCGCGAGAACTTCACTGGACTGAATTGAAGGGAACTTTAGCTGAAGACAAAGGCACAAAAGCCCATGTTTCCTAGGACCATGTGCAAAAGCCTGGTTGGAGAAGAAACTGAGAAGGAGGTCGTGTGTGATGCTCAGCTCGGGGTCACTGGCCACCCGCAGTGGCTGACTCAGGGCGGGTGTTTAATGCTTGTTGATTGCACTCATACATGTGGTGAAGCCAGCTTTGAGGAGAAAGGAGGGGTCGGTGTCCCCAGCTCCTGTACTATTGTTAATTGGCCTGACCTTGGGACTTGGGCCAACCTGCTCCTAAAACCTTCCACAGGGAGCTCGCCTCCAGTGAGCAGGTGCTAGAGAAAATGCATCTCTGAAGACGCATTTGTGACCAGTCCAGAGTACAGATGTACAAAACATGAGGTTCAGCTTAATCAGGTCTCGAGGCCCGAACGAGAGACAGTGGATGGGCACAGTCTGTCTGTACACTCCCATTGAAAGGTTTTCTGGGGTACTTTAAGAAAAACATATGTCAACAATAAAAAAGTAATGGAATTCCCAGACAGAAATCTGTGTTTAAATGGCATTAAAGCTGTGGTTTAAATCAACAAAAGCCAGGAAATTCAAAGTTACCCTTTATCCAGACTGTTATACCATTTTTCCAATGCTGTGCGTGTGTGCCTCAGAACAGCCTCCCTCCGAATTCCCTGGCTCTGGCAGCCGAAATCTGCAAGTGGCTTTGAATTACAGTGCCTGGGTCTGCCCTAAAGGGACTGCACCCCCGGGTGCGCTGGCTTGTGGAGGCTTTTATGTGATATCACTACAAATGTGGGCATCCTGGACTTGCTGCTGCCCCTCTTTCTTTAAAGCCTTGGGGTCTGCATTTTTAGCTGATCGTGGGTCTGGGCAGGTGATGGAGTCTGTCCTTACTGCTTACACATTGCAGTTATAAGTGGACAGCATTTTAAAACATTTCTTTTCCCTCTTTCCACTAGACATGGCGATGACTTGATTGTGACTCCTTTCGCCCAGGTATGTATCGTGCTCACCTGTTCACTCTCCCCTGCCCCCGGGGTGTGGTTTCTAACTGTGGCCTCTGAACCTGGCATCGGGCCCCTTTTGTCTTAAGCTGTCTGAAATATTTTCCTCCTAGGTGCTTGCCAGCTTGCGAAGTGTGAGAAACAACTTCACTCTACTGACAAACCTTCAAGGAGCATCCAACAAGTAAGCACTGATTTTTGTGGCGTTTTGAATTCCTTCCATTAGAGCAGGAAACACTGAGCAGCATTGAAAAGCACACACAACTATTGCATGGAAACTCGCCCTCCGAGCTAAGCTAGGCTAACTACACAAGGAAATTCGAAAATGAGATCAAGCACCACAGGAATTGGGAGCAGGTTAGAAATTGCTAGAAATTATCTGGTTTGTGTTTTATTGATTTTTATAACCTTAACACTTAGCACACAGTGGAGTCAATAAAATGAGAGGAGGCATTTTTTTGTGTCATATATTTGCCGCTTTGGCAGTAATGATCATAAATGCTATTAAAAACATTTTTCTATAAGAAATTAATGAATTCAGAGGCCCCCTCAAAGTTAAAAATACTCAGAAATTCAAGTCCAAGTTACTGTGGGTTTTTTCCCTTGGATAACATATAAAAAGTTCATGCAGTTTGATGAAAAAGAGTGGAATTGTATTCTCTTCTGCCCCCAACTATATAATGACCTTGGTCATTTCAACTAACATTGCTGACTCCTGGTATCCTCATTTGTGAGGTACAAATGCAGAATGAACTTGTTCCCTCCAGGAACTTTCTCCTCCAAAATCATTCTGGTCTATGTGCCTAATCTAAGTACTATGAAATTCGCATTTCTGCATCTTGACAAGATCAGCACAGTCTCTGAGGGTCATAGAACCCGTGATCCTGGAATGGTGAGGCCGAAGGAGGCCTTGAAAACCACTCATTTAGCCAGGTGTGGAGGTGCACGCCTGTGAGCCAGCACTCTGGGAGGTTGAAGCAGGAGAATCCCAAGTTCAAGAGCAGTCTGGGCAACTTAGCCACTTAACAAGACCCGGTCTCTAAATGAAAAAAAAAGAAATTAAATGACTGAGGATGTAGCTCAGTGTGAAGGTGACAGACAGACAGACAGACAAACACACACAACCATTCATTTAACTTCTTTGTTTTACTGGGAGATAAACCCAAACCCTCTGGAATACAACAACTAGCAAACAAATATATCATAAGCTAGAGACATGTTAGAGCCAAAACCTAAATCTCCTGATTTTTCAGCCAGTGTTCACTACGGCGTATCCTATCTCTGCAACTTTCGTAAAGTTATCCTCAACCCTGTTTCGCTTTCATCCAGGACTGTATAGACTGAGCTGAAAAGCAAGGGTGAAGTCTGCTTTCGATGATGACTTCCACCGTCCTCTAACTTGTCTTTGAGCCTCCTTGTGAGCTAACTAATTTTTGTACCCCAATGGGTCTTTTCCATATTGTTCCCTGCTCCTCTAAGTTCCTCTCTAAACTTGCAGCAGAGTAAACGTTTCTACATGCTGAGGGGTCAGTGTCGCTCTCCAGCTAAAGGCACTGTCACTGCTGGCCATCAGAGAAATGCAAATGAAAACCATGCTGAGATTCCTGGCTTACTCCAGAAAGCATGGCTATCATCAAGCAATCCAATGATAACAAATGCTGGAGAGGCTGTAGGGAAAGGGAGCCCTTCTATGTTGTTGTTGGGAATGAAAACTAGAACAATCACTATGGAAATCATTATGGAGAGTCTTAGAAAAACTAAACACAGAAATTCCGTTTAATCCAGATATTCCCCTTCTAAGTATCTTCACCAAAGAGGTAAAGACATCACGTTACAGGGATCCATGCACAGCCTTGTTTATAGCAGCACAACTCACAATAGCTAAATCTTGGAAGCAATCTCTATGTCCATCAACAGACGAATGGATAAAGCAGATGCGGTGTTTACACACAAGAAGTACCGCTTACTGCTCTGCCATGAAGAAGGATAAACTGGAGTCATTTGTGGGGAAATGCTGCACCTTTAGACCAGAATGCTGAGTGAAGTAAATCAGACACACGAACTTCAGCATCACATGGTTTCTCTTCTATGAGAAAGCTAAAATGTAAATAAAGAGCAAAATAAAAGATAGATAACAGGAAGTATGGAGACAGGTCTTTCTCAAGGGAGAAGGGGGTCAAGACAGGGATTGTGTTATGGGAAGATGTGTTAGGGAAGATGTGTTATGTACCTGTACTGACTCCACACAAGGAATGTCATCGTTATGACAGCAAACATGGACTAATAAAAAATAAAGTTCAAGTGCTAGTGTTTGGTACCCAAGACACCTGGTGACCCAGAGTGAGTTAGTGTGACTGAGAGTCAGCTGGATTTATTTCAGTGAAGTGTACAGGTTGAGCACTCCTCATCTGAAAATCCAAAATTGGAAACTTTTTCATCACCAACATGATGCTCAGAACTGAAAAGTCCCACACCTGACCTGGTGTGACGGGCTGCAGTTGACATACAGGTGCACTAAAATTATTGTATATGTGTGGAACATAAGATGAATTTTGTGTTTGGACTTGAGTTTCATCCCTAAGATCCCTCATTATGTATATGCAAATATTCCAAACAGGGAAAAACCCCAAACACTTCTGATCCTAGGCATTTTGAACAGGGGATTCTTAGTATATGAAACGTGGAGATGGTTCCACCAGCCTCCTTCAGAGTGGAATTCCTGTTTTTTCATTTATTAACCCATACAACATGTACTTATTTAGTACATGCTTTTCGTTCACACTCGTATGTGGGATTAGCAAATATTTTCTGGCATCTACTCTGCTAAGCCCCAGTGATGTCATAGTGACCAAAGCAGACAAGGACTCTGCCTTTGGGAGTTTCCATCCATTCTAATGGGAAGTGGCCAGGATGGAGTGGGGAGCAATGTGACCAGGTCTCCGCCTGGTGGGATTAGGTGCGCCAGCTGTGGCCCTGTGGTTCCCTCCAGGCTCCCTTCTCCAACTGACCGCAGACTTCCTGTTCCCTCTTCTGGAAATGGCTCTTTGCAGGTCCCGGGGTCACTTGGCTGGATGTTGCCCACCTTTTGCAATATTATGCTGTCATGTCTAGTATTGCTTTTAGCAAGATGCTTTCTCTGGCCTTCCCAAGCCTGGCTGAGTGTCCCTTCTTAGGCCTGAGGGGATCTAAAGACCTGTTCCTCTCTCCTTATGGATCAGTGCCCATTTCTTCCCCTGATGGGGAAGACTTGTGTTTATTTTTCTTTAAATTTTCAAGAATTAATAGAATGTCTGACACCTAGTTTATACTCCATAACTATTTGTTGTACACATGAATTTGTGAATAAATAATTGTTGGAGAAAAGATCAACTAGGGAAAAAAACCGTAGAAGTGACACCTTCCCTGCCCCTGCCTCTTCTCTGTATAAATACGGCCCACGGACAGGTCACACTTACTGGCTTCATAACTCGGTTCTACCCTTTGAAAATTGTGTACTTGGGCAAATTAATTGCCTTCTCTAAATCTGTTTCCTAATCTGTAAAATAGAGTTGTTGTGATGATTAAGTGAGTTGATATTTCTAAAGCACTGAAAACATCATCTAGTACAATGACGGTGAGCTATTATGATTGATAGTTAATTTCTCTCGCTGAGTCCAGCAGCAGAGTAACGCTCTGGGGCTCTCATATCCGTCATCACAGTTCCGATCCTCATTCCTGATCTGCAGTGCTCTTCCCGCTCGAGGCACCTGTCCAGTCTTCTGGGCTCTGAGAAGAAGACCCTGGAAGGCTTTGGAACAGAAAGCGTTTTTGGAAGAGCCTAGAAAGAGGTGAAGGTCAGAGAGCCTAAAGGTAGAGACATCGGCTGAGCTGGAGTTTTTAGGACTGAACATGAGAGAGGACGCCCTGGACCAAAAGGATGAAGTAGGCTGGGGAGGAAGGATGGGCAAGGAAGCAGTGAAGGCTTCTAGAGCAACCTCAGACTCAGAGCTGCCATACTGCACAGCCCAAGACAGGAGAGGCCGTGGGCGTGGGGTCCTCCTCACAGTGGTATGGGGCGTGCGGCCTCCTCCTGCTGGGTAGTAAGCCACACCAGTTTCAGCTCTTTCTCAAGAACCAGGTCTACAGACAGCCTTAGTGGCTGGGCCACACTGACTTTTCGGGACCAAGTGCCTGGGGGCCGTGCTTGACCCAGAGCCATCCCCACAGTGCGGCAGAGGGCCACCCTCAGGTCGTGGCCCTCGTGTCAGCTTTGCTCCTTTGTGTAACCACAGTCACCAAGCAGAATAGATTTCCAACAGCAAGACAGCTGAATCAATTAATTTTTCTCGAATCCATCCCCGTATTTGTACAATTGATCCTGTTAGTAGTTTGAAGTGCTTCTTTATAACTAAGGCCAAACAACAGAGAGTGAAGGCAAGACGAATGTCCCTTGGCACCTCTCCCAAGGGAGACAAGATGTCTCAGTGTAGTGCAGGCTGAGGCCTAAGGGGTGGGTTTGGGCCACCAATAGTGCAGGTTAGAGAACTCAAGGTACATTCGATCCATTCTGCTCTATTCCTAGAAACTCAAGGCCCTAAAACAACACAAGAAAATGCCAGGGGCGGGGCTAAAGATAAGACATCTGCTAGGAGCAGATACCCCACACACACATACACACATGTGCACGCATGCACACAGGGTAACTTACACTGACAAATGCAACTGTAAGATTCATGGAATTCAGAAGTTCCTTTCTGGCCTATTTGACTTGGGTTCCAGGCTGCCACTCCCTGTCTTGACTGTAACCCTGAAGCAATAATTATGTCCTTGGAGTGGTTTTCATGAGACGTCTGGTTAGTGTGGTTTGTTGTATGAAAAGGAACTCCCATGAAGAACTATACTTCTCATAAGTTAAGGCTTCTTTTATCTTTGGGTCTTTGCTCTGCACAAAAGCTGTCCATTGTCTGCCGAGCTTGGCCACTCAAAGGGTGAAAATCTCCAATATCCCGTTGAGGTGATTTCTTTGCACTTCCATAAGCGGTCCTGTTGAGGGTTACTTGATTGGGCCTGCAGTTCTTGGCTGCAAATTAAAACCTACATTTCTTTTGTCCCAGGAGTTAAGTTTGAGAATGTGGCTTTCATCTAGCGTTGCTAACTCAGATGAGCATCCCTGAAGCATTTTCTGGCTTCCAGCATGTGCCCATGGAGTGGCCGTGGGTAGAGTGAGGGTGGCCATGTTCAGTCATTGGTAATCAGAGAATGGGGCTGGGAGCAAAGTACCCGCCTTTGTCATCCGACTCTGTCACTGCGCATCAGATTTCACCTGTGGCTGTCAGGAAATCACGTCACATCTTTGTAGCAACATTCTCCCAAAGCACTATTTTGTCAAAATGGATGAAATCTTTGGGAAAGAATTAATGACCACTTAAATTTTTGAGTGTGTATCTGAAATGTCTTTCATTGCTTTCTGTACTCTGGCCTGGAATTTTAATTAACTGAGAATCGTAAATTCTTGAGCATTCAGAACTGGAAAAATCCTAGCGAAATTTCTGCAGAGTAAATGAAGAAATAGATGGAAAACCTCTCACACAGGACCTAGCACACTGTAAATCAGTAGTAAATGTTCGTGGCTGCCTGCTCTCCCCTTGTGAGGAAGAAACTAAAAAGTTCAGTGAGTTGTGGCCATACTGCTCTCCTGTCGCCACTTACGCCAGCCAGGCATGTAACTTACTCTGACTCTTCCATTCATTAAGGACCACTGGAAATCAGACGAGCAAATTCATTTTCTCTTGCACACAATGCAGTTTGGTAGCTGGCCCTGTCAGGCTCCCAAGCAGTGCTGTGGCTTCTGGAAGTCATTCATTCATTCTGGATGTACTGAACCTCTTCTTTGTGGCAGGTGTCAAGAATAAGTGAGAAACCAAATACACACAGCCCCTGCCTTTCCGAAGCTTGTTCACAGAGATGCTTATATGAACTAGTAACTCTAAATAAAAACCATATTTTCAAAAGTAATTTCTGGGACAAAGGTACTTGTGTCATATGTATGATTTCTAGGTGGTCACTGAGAGAACAGAGTGCTGTAAGTAGCCACACTGCGAAGAAAATCGAAATTTCGGACACTGAAAACCTCCTAGATCGAGTGTCCTTTTGTACAAGTCCCTCTGGAATTCAGGCAGAGATGCAAAGCCAAAGTATCACGATGTGCTATGAATCTAGTGGACATTTATTGGATGCTTGCATTACCCCAAATATTACACTGGCTCACAGTAGTGCAGCTATGAATTCAACACAATCTTGGTTTACATTTCTCACGGGTGCACTGGGGAGAGAAAGGAAGATGGGAATTGCCATGGTGACAACAAAGGAATAGGATTGGGTGTAGGATACTGCGGAGCACAGGCTCGGGCCACTCAGGACAGAAGGGCACCCGAGGAGGTGCTGGGACATGTGAGTGAGTTAGCAACTTAAAGGGGGCAGGGGTTCTGTTCAAAATATACACAAAGGCACAGTCCCAAGGGAGCTCAGAGAGCAGAACCCAAACCCTCTGTGAAGAAGAAGCTGGCAAAACATTCACACCCACACCGAGTGACTGGCTCCGCCAGTACTTTTACATCAGTGCTTCACTTGACCAGCAGTCCGACAGCATGCTCGGAATGCACACTGTTCACCCGGAAGTTGATGGGTCTTGCACAGGAAAGAGGGAAAGGGGTCAGAACTACATCCTATTGTCAACAGGTCCTGGATTAGAGGTGCAGGCGTTATGACCTCTGTGAATTGTAACATGAGGAAATGACCCCAGAGGCGCAGATAGAACACCACAGCAGACCAGACCGTTCTCAGCTAAGAGGGTGACAGCCTTTGAAGAAGATGCTTGGCCTTTGAAGGCTGAAGGTCATATTTAGTGTAAGCAGAGCTTCCTTGCCCAACATAGAAACAGTTTAAGCAATGGTGGGAAAAGGACAGCACGTGTCCAAGGAAAGGAAGTGACCACGTTTGGCCTCAGCAGCATATAGTCAGTTCTTTCATCCACCCACCCATCCATCTGTCCATCCATCCATGTGTTCATTCACTCATTCACTCATTTTTTCTTCCACTCAATAATTATTACCCACTGCTTGGCAAATGAAGGGACATCCTTGGTGCCACCCTGGGACCCCATAGTGAATAATCATTTGCTGCCTACACAGAATTCACTGCAATCTAAGGAGCCTTCTATTGAATGCTAATTAGACAGTGCCTGTTTTCATCCCAATTTGAAATTTCTGACAAGGCGAAGTACAAGATTCATGAGAGAGCACGAAGCCACTCAGTGCTCAGAGATACAAGATCAGATGGGGAAAAGGCCTAAGAGATAAGCTAGAAAAGCGTGTTGAGGCCAGAGAGCAAAGTACTTTGCCAGACCAAAGAGCTCAGAATTTAATCTCTCGATTTTCCTGGAAAACAGCCCTCGGTTTGGGTGCAGGCCTTACCAGTTGTATAGCTAGAAGAGCTTGCCCTTTGGAGTAAGAGTCTTGGCTTTCGAAACCACGTGGGGCTGGGTGTGTTTCTCCACTTCTCTGAGCTTCACGTTCCCTGTCCTTGAATACTCTCAGTGGAGGCCAAGAGGTACCTAGCACCTAGCACCGCACCTGCTAGAGGAAACCAGTCACTAGTTGGACACTTTCCTTCTCTGTCACATGTGGCCACTTGTACCACACCTGCTACCTAGGGTCACCCAGCTGGTAAATCAGCAGCAGGGCCAGGTCCCATCCACAAACTCTGCAGCTGCAAGGTAAGGTAACAGGGATCAGAGGTGGGTGTGGAGCACTTGAAGACCTAGCACCAAACTCAGCTTCTTTCTCAAACTCATCTGTGCATGGGAATGAATGGATGAGTAAAACGTGCAGATTCCCAGGCCTGAGACGGCCTCTCCAGGATGGGCAAGGGAACTTTCTAGCTCACCACAGGAGTCTGATGCTTTCCATGCTTGACAACCAGTGGCTGCAGCCCAGGCTTGCTCACTTCCAACAGCCCACTACCTCTTAGTGGGGCAGAGTCCTCAGGCTCTGCGTGGGTGGTCCCCAGCCGAGCAGCATCAGCAGCGCCTGGAAACTCATCAGGAGTGCAGACTGCTGAGCAAGCCCAGGCCTGCTGAGTCAGACACTCCAGAGGTGGGGTCCAGGAGGTCACAGTCTGCGGCCTGCGCTCATATCCATGTGTCGTGAAGCTGGAGAGCCCTGCCCTGTCCTTGGCCTGGAGCTGCTCCACCAGTGCACCTGGAGTCTGGCAGAGGAAGCTGTGCAGAACATGAGGATAGTGAAACCAGCAAAACTGGGGGAAAGGTGTGGAGAAAGAGAACGAAACTGGAAAGGGAAGGAGAAGGAGGCCCAGTGTGAGTGGAACTGGGTTTGTTCACTTGTTTCATTTGACCCTGGAGGTGGCAGGCTTGCTGCAGTAACAATGCCCAGTTCCTCCATGCAGACTTCCCTAAGTGAGAAAGCTGGATTCCTTTTTCTGGGGCTCTGTGTAACCTTTGCCAAATGACTTTGCCTCCCTGGGTCTCAGTTTTATGGATGCAAAAATGGGGGCTTGAACTGCCTGGTTTCCCAGGATTCTTTTGCCTGGGGCATTTAAGGAACTGGAGTCCAGACTGCCTTTTGGGGTGCAGACTAAGCAAGTGTCTTCTCCTTTAACACTCCTGGGCCAGCAACAGAGGAGCTGGTGAGGGACCTGGAGTAAACAGCTTCCTTCCTGGAGAGTTGGAGCATCCTGAGGCTGTGTGGAGGGAAATTCCAGGCCATCTGGATGTGACAGAAATGCAGCCATCTAGCCACACGTTACAGGCCCTCTTTCGGGAGTAGCACTATGTCACTGGATGGCTCTCGATGTCCTGGAAAGCTCCTCGGTGTTGCAGGGGTTGGGGGATGAATTGCCGAACTCAGTCCCTCTCTTCTCCTTCTCCACAGGAGGTCCCCAGCGACCAGCCAGCCTCCTGTGTCCAGAGTCAACCCGCAAGGTAGGCCATATCACTCGAGATCTACCTCCATGTTTCAGAATACTTGTGCTTCCAATTCGGGACTGGTTTTAGAACTCGCATACTGTGACCCTAGAAATACTTCTCTTGGCAGCCTTTTCAGTGGTACAGCAGAGCTGCCCTTTGCTTGGTATGAACCCAAATGAAAAGCAGTGCTTTGTCCGTCATGTGGCCATGCTTGCAGGACAGGGTGAAGGTCTGATGCTCGTCTCCCTGCAGAGCAGCAGGAGCAGAGCTGAATGGGGCTGCAGCCTGACCTCAGCTCTGGAAACCCCAGAGGCCCCAGGTGCCCATGCCAGCCTGAGAGTCCCCAGGGTAGGCTACTGGTTCCCCCTTGGAGTCTACCATAGATCCTACTTGACTCTACCTCCTTCCCAAGTGTGAATCCAAAGGTTCTTTCCAGATCACAATCATTTCTCCTGGAGGTCAGCCAACTTTGTTCTCCCAAGGTGTGTTTTTTAAAAGAACCAGCCTCTCGTCTTTCAGAACTGTGCAGCCACTTTTGACGTAGTGTTGAGCACTGCTGAAGGGAAAGGTCCCCTTCAAGAGATGCCACGGAGAAGTGTTGGACATAAATTCTTCTTTGACACGAAATGTAAACAGTTAAATGACCTTTCCTAAAGTCCAAATGGAGCTCTTTCCCTTGAACCCGGACAGCATTGTAGCAGTGAATTTCAGCAAAACAATAGGAGAAACAGTTAAGGTGAAGTCACACCAAGACCTCCTAACATCTCCCATGCCTTGCAAACTTTTCTATTCCAGCAACACTCTTCCGTCCGATTTGGACTTAGGATCCCCCATCCTGGGGTGTTGAGATCACCCGCTAGGATGATGACCTCAAGTACCACAGAAGTATTTATAAGAGCCCATCTTCTCTCTAACAGAACAAAGGCAGCAGATTCAATCGGCTCACTGCCTTCTGAAGTATTTAGGGTATATGCTTGTAAAAATATTTTTATAAGATGGACAACAAGAATAAAAGTGGAAGGACGATATTAAGTAAAGGTGAGTTTACTCTAGAGCCCTGTGGTACAAGAGAAGAAGTAATAGTATTCCATCTATGGACTTCAAAAACCTGGTGGCTGGATGTATTATTTCCTTTAGAAGTTTTATAAAAAGAGACAAAATAAGAGTGTGCTAACACGGAACTGGCATTACATACGTGGAGATCAGAGCAGCTTGTTTTGAAGCTTCTTCTTCTTACTGGTCCACCTGTGGGCCACTGTTGCCTCAGTTTTCCAAACTTACTAAAGGCGTTTGGAATATTTAGACTGTTTTCTTTCCTTGGAGTAAATACTGACAAACACCAGGAGAATCTGCAATGTTTATGGTCCCTTAAATGAGCTCAGGAGATGAAGAAGCTGAGGTGAAGATCATTTTGTGATTATTGGCACAATAACTGCAGCTTGGCAACTAGAGAGCCTTTTACTAAATTCTTTAAAACAATAGAGCAAAGAAATGACAATACCACTTAGGCAATTTGTTTTTGTCTGTCTTTGTGGCAAAGTACAAAAATCCTGGCTTTTCGTTCGGAAGAGAATGTAGTGATACCAATTATTACGTAATTATGAGTTTCAAAATCTTCTTAACGTTTAACCACAGTCAGAAAAGGAAGGAGGGGACACATCCCGTGTTTTGTTCTTATTATCAGCTTAAATAAGCCAGGCAGATTTTTCCTGTTATTTTAATATTTATCAGCATATGACAGAGAGCTGTGTTTAAATAGCACTTGAAAGAGCAACGAGAAATAAATGGTGCAGAGAAACCGGATGGAGAACCGGAGCGCTGGTTTAAAATACGGTATTTTGTGATAATTAGGTCAGGTTTTCAGTTGTCAGTCCTGAATTGAACTCATGTATTTCAATTCAAGTCTAATATGAAAAGCACAAGAAACTCATGATAATTTAAACAGGGTTAGCAACAATGTAGTGTATTAGCAAACCCTGGCTCACTTAGATAACTGCATTCTTATATAGAAAAAATTTTACAAAGCCACTTTTCCTCCTCCTCCTCCTTCTCTTCCTCTTCTTTCTCCTTCTCTCTTTCTCCTCCTCCTCCACATAAAAGAAGTTCAATCCATTGTAAAGCTACCTGTCAGAAGCCAAAGTTAAATTGGTACCTTTGCAAGTTGATCATTAACCAAAACATTCAACGGGGAAATCTCCCAACCTGAAACACCTCCTCCTCCTGTCAAACCACGACAATTCCCAGCTCTCTGGGCTCAACACAAATTCCCCTCCTTTGAACAGGCATCTTGGTCTTTTTAATTTGGCATAAGTGCTCCTTCCTGTGCTGTGTAACCATTTCACTTCGGACTGCGGTGACCCTGGCAGCACGCCTCCTCCCCGGGGGGGAAGGTTTGGAAGGCAGGGGCTCCCCCCACGTTTGCACAGTGGGAACACAGTAAATGTGGAATTGGCCAGAACCCCCAAACCCTTGGGACTTTGAGGGAAACTGCTCATAACATTTAACCTTAATAAGGTACAAATTCCCAATGATGAATGTTACCATATTGTATACCTAAAATGGACCAATAAAATTAGTGAATAAAAAAATTTAAACTTAATAATCAGCTAATATTGTTATCTCTGTGGCTATAAAAGAGATTAAATTGGTTTTTTTTAACTGTATACTAAAATCAATTGTTGCATTGAAATCAAAAGAGGTTTGAAGCCCATGTAACTGCTCGTACCTGTGTGTTCATATAGGAGCCAGAGCCTTGCAGCGCTAGGCAACCCTCTACCAATAAGATGCAGTTGCAGTACGTTTTACTTCACTTACAGGGTCCTGCCAAGTTGCCCAAGCTGCCCTCAAACTTGAGGTCCTCCTGCCTCAGGCTCCAAAATTCCTGGGATGAGATATGTGCTCCTCCATGCAGGCTTAGGTTTTAAATAAAAAGAGTTAAATATAAGAAGTTGGCATCTTGTTTTGGCCCTTAAGCAGGAAAGCCAGGGTAAAAAGTAATGGAGAATTTTAAACCTGGAAAAAAGAACCCAGTGACAGTAAATCTTCCTGGAGAATTGTAAATGCTAATGCTGTGGGGTTTGATGGGGATCTCAATTTGTATCACATTTTGCTCTTTCAAAAGCATGAATTCCAGGCTTTTTCTGATGGTGCTCAGGCTTGAAGCAGAAAGCAAGGAAAGGAGAAAGAAAGAATAAAAGAAACACCACAAGACAGGAACTTGAAGCCTATCCTCTATACATATTCAAGATGGAATCTGAAATAGCGCTCAGGATTTTGGACCCCAAAACCACTTTTAACAGAAAAGAGCATCAGCTATTTGGAAATACCCAATGTCCATGTGTGGTGTGTGAGAGTCCCCATTTTTCCACCCTGCCTATCCCTTCCTTTTGCATTTCTGCATTTCCATAGTGATTACAAGTTCATGCTTTCAGTGAACATTTTCTGAGAAGGTGAAGTACCAAGTGATCTCTCCCTTTACAAAGTGACTGCTTTGCAAAAAGATGAAGGAAATGTTGCCTTTAACAGACAGCACCTCCAAGTCATGGAAAAGTGGTTTGATTTAGTACTTCATACACATGACATTTTAGCAGCCAACTTGGTATGTAAGGTGGGAATGTTCTATACTAGGATTTTTATTCCAAAATGTATCCATAAACCTACCGAGCAGGACAGTCATCAGACATTATTAAGAGTAAGCCAGACATCTATAGGTCATCAGAAGTGACAGTGAGCTATGTCCACCCAGACGGCTTTGAAAATGCCTCTGTACAGCCTGCGTCAGTCTAGGTGTCCACGGTCTCCTTGATTTACAGTGGTTTTCAACGTCAGTCGCTTGGAACACACTTCATGAGGAGACTGTGTTTGGAGAAACAGGAAGAGGTGTCCAAGATGGGTTTGCCTAACTGAGAAACAGACTTAATTAAGGTTCTTCCAGTACTCCAGGGAAACCATTCCTTCTCATATGTATCTAGGCCAGAATGGAGCAAGAAATGACCCTTCACCAGTTGATAAGACTGCAAGAAAAGACTCTCCTAGGAAGCCTGTTCCTCCATGTGGGTTCTTCCCATTGCTTGGCATGATTGTGACTGTTGCTGAGTGTTCAGGGCAATGCACCAGACAGATTCTGCTCAAGAAATGCACGTGGAGTTCGGGAGTTATCTTCGATTCTGAGCAATTCCGAAAGTCAAGACACTGGTTCAGGTCTCCTTCCAGAGCTTCCGGGCCTGGGCGCGGGTGTGGGGCTCCTGGCCACAGTAATGGCCCAGAACTGATCCATGTCACAGGAGGAAATGGAGGCAGCACAAGCAGCCCCTTCTTGGCACCTACGTTAGGCAAGAACTGTCAGGCAGGATTACAGTACTTATGGACAAACAGAAATAAAGTCAATCTTGTTACCAAAGGCTTTGACCAGGGCTGGAGAAAATTTAAAAAGAAAAAGAAAGAAAGAAAACAGAAAAAGACAAAGAAAAGCAGAAATAATAGGCTATTTTCTTCAGTGTTTTGAATGCTGTGTGACCTAAATTATTGGGATAATCAGCTTAATTACCACCTTGAGTGTCCAGACAGCTGCATACAAAGAACGATAAAAAAAGGCAACCAGGGAAAAGCCCCAGTAATTCTGAGGATAATTCCCCAAATGATTGTTTTGGAAGAATTAATTTTGTCTACAGTAGCCCTCTTGTGAAAGAAAGTGTGCCCCAGAGCATCAACACAGAGCTAGTTATATTGATTTGCAATTATTTCATATATGTCTGAATTTGGGTAATGGGGTAGTTGCAAAAATATTCCCAAGACAGCTAAAGTATGAACAGTTAAAATGTTACCCTTCAGGAAACATTGCCAAAAGTAACAACCTGCTCATGAGTGGCTGGTTTCACTAGTTCAAAATTAATTCTAAATTTAGGGTGATCATTTCTTCCTATTAAATATGACTGATGAGAACCACAGCATCTAATCGCTCAGGAGTTGCCTCAATAGTTGAGTTCATTCCGTGTGGACTCCAGTTCAGGTTTTTG